TTGTGGTGCAGCGATGAGATTCTTGCTGGTGCAGCTCAGCCCATTGTGGTGCAGCGATAAAATTCTTGCTGGTGCAGCTTAGCAAAATGTGTTGCAGCGCCAAGACGCTTGCTAGTGCAGCCAGAACACACGCGGAGTACATCCAATGGCGCTATAAACTCCCACTCCTCGACGCACGAATAGCTGGTAAATCTTTATGGATGGAGAGAGATACACACCAACCTTGTCTGTCGCACATCTGAGACACCTCTGTGTGTGTATGTTACGCACACACACACACACACACACACAACACACACACACACACACACACACATCTCCGTGTAAAAAGAATCTCCACAGCTGAGGCTACACGTAAACAACAACAAACAACGGTAGCGTGGCTTTCCCACCAGAGAAAACACGATAATGAAATATGTAAAAAAGTGCAAACTCCAGAAAGTTAATTCCTTGTGCATAGGAACATAACACACGAAGAGGTATTCATAACGCAAGAAATGCTGCGTACAAAAAGCAAGTATACTAAGCAAAACACTAGAAATGCACTCGTGGACATGTTGCCTCAGTCAATACTAGAAATGCATTGTGGACATTGCCACAGTCAACATCAGAAATGCACACGCATGAAACTGTTCTCATCACATTAAATGTAATGGGGACTTGTCCTCAGGTCAACACTAAACAAAAATGTACAGGGTAGTGTTGTCCACAAAAAAAGCAATCGATAGACAATAGTTGTCTCAGAACTCAAAGTTAAATACCTTGTGCATAGATGATCTCGGTATTCATAGAAATGAAATGTGCACAATGATCTCAAGTCAACATAAAATGCAACACTAGAAATGTCTTAGTCGACACTAAAATGCCTCAGTGAAATGTTGTCTCAGATCAACATTAAAATACATCTCGTGGCAACATTACAAATCAGCTCAAGAATGCACTGTCATCTAACATCTGGAGAAAGAACAACTCACTGACGGAGTGAAGTCAAACCATAGCAAGTAGCAGTCCAAAATGATATTCGGGGGTTCATGAACGATAAAGTCAACACATAAGTTACAATCAGCCCATTAAAGATTATTCGAGGGTCAGGAATACGTTCAGTGAGTTGTTTACAATCAAGTCATTACGATTGTTACGAGTCAAAGAGGAAATACGTTGAACACTAAAATGGTATAAAATACCGACAGGTTGTTAGGTAAGACACATATGCAACAGTTAGGTATCTTTATTTCGAAACGTTTCGCCTACACAGTAGGCTTCTTCAGTCGAGTACAGAAAAGTTGATAGAAGCAGAAGAGACTTGAAGACGATGTAATCAGTCCATCACCTCAAAACTTTAAGGGTGATGGACTGATTACATCGTCTTCAAGTATCTTCTGCTTCTATTAACTTTTCTGTACTCGACTGAAGAAGCCTACTGTGTAGGCGAAACGTTTCGAAATAAAGATACCTAACTGTTGCATATGTGTCTTACCTAACAGGAAATACGTTCAGTGAGTTGTTTACAATCAAGTCATTACGATTGTTACGAGTCAAAGAGGAAACAATATAACCTACTGTAAGATCAATAAAATCAGACAAGAAAATGAAGATTTCATAGAACTGTCAATGAGGTGAACAAGAGGTAATAATCTGAAACAAATGAAGCTTCATGTAGCACTTCTCCAAGAATATAATAATAATAATAATAATAATAATAATAATAATAATAAAATAATAATAATATTATAATAATAATAATGATAATATTATTATTATTATTATTATTATTATTATTATTATTGTTATTATTATTATTATTGTTATTACTTTATAAATAATAAATTGATGTCCTCTCATGTTGCAAAACGAGTGTTGCAACAAATTTATGTTGCTTAACGCAATATGTTGCCTGTTTGATCTATAAAAAATATTACATTCCCATTACTTCTTACTATATTATCATATAAAAGCCTGACTGGGCGAGTGGTGCATCTCTCCAGCAAAGACAACACACAATCTACACTTATATATATTATATATATATATATATATATATATATATATATATATATATATATATATATATATATATATATATATAATATTATAATATATATATATGTATATTATATTAAAGAGAGGGCAAGAGTGAGTGAGGAAGACAACCACAGCTATAATGTTTGAGCTCAATTAAATCTTGTCGTCAGATTGTGACTTTTTTGTTGGCAGTGTTTAGGAGAACAATGTTTTAGCGGCCGAATATACACTGCTGGTGATACACACTGCTGTGTGATGTACACCTGCTGGTGTGATGTACACCTGCTGGTGTGATATACACCTGCTGGTGTGATACACACCTGCTGGTGTGATACACACCTGCTGGTGTGATACACACCTGCTGGTGTGATGTACACCTGCTGGTGTGATATACACCTGCTGGTGTGATATACACCTGCTGGTGTGATACACACCTGCTGGTGTGATATATTACACACATAAAGGTGTGATAAATTACATATATCTGGCGGCCTTTACTATCTCCAGGTTTACAGGGGCCGTTCATACCTACTCCTAAAACTGTGTATAGGGTATGCCTCCATTCCTTTTTCTAGTTCGTTGCTCTCACTACGCTGAGAATGAAAAATGATTTCATGACATTTATGTGACTCATCTGTGTCTTTAGCTGCACCGTGTGTATTATCCTGAGTATTTTCCATATCATAGTCATGTCTCCCCTAACTTTTTCCCTAATATTCTTAAGTTGTATTTACTAGCTTTCCATATCCGCAATTCCGAACAGCAGTATCGTCGTGAACATCAGGATGGATGAGTGCTGTTGTGCGTGTTTGCGTGTATTGGAGTACCTTTGCCTGCGTGTTTGTTTGCTGGGTGCGTATATGTGTACATGAATAAAGTGTTTTTTTTATTGTGTGTATGTGTGTGTGTGTGTGTGGTGTGTGTGTGTGTGTGTGTGTGTGTGTGTGTGTGTGTGTGTGCGTATGCATGTATTCCTGAGTGCTTGCAGCTACAATGGGATGATTTTGCTTCACCTAAGCGTATAGATCAGATTTTTTCAACTGCAGTACTTGGCTCAGGATGGTGAAGGCCAGGTAGACAGAGAGAGCCACGAGCAGGGAGCCAACACCCTTGGCACTGCCCGCTGTCCGTCCAGAATGGATTCTTGCTGTACTTGTTTGCGTTTGTCCCCTGTCGTCCTCTCGGGCAAGATTACCACCATCCTCTGTGTAGTGATTCTAGTAATCCAACAGAGTAAAAGAATCACAATATCGTGGTTGAAACAACACTCAAATAACCCACACTTAGGAGACTGAAATTTATGACGATGTTTCGGTCCGAATTGGACCATTACGAAGTGATTGGTCAAATTCTGACCGAAATGTCGTTGCGTGAGCAGCTCGGTAGCCTTCTCAGTAGTAGTAACCAGTTACCAGTAACCACTGTGCCAGTTGACTCACGACCAACCGTCTCTGCCTGAGTCACTGTCTATTCATATTGTGCTGACCTGGCACTATTCAAAGACCCCCTCACATATGGGTACTGTGGGCGGCCAGTCGGTCAGTTGTACGAGAGAGATCAGAGAGACTAGGTAACGGCTGTAAGGGCGCTACCCACATTATCTGTAATTATACGTACTACCAGCCTACGTGAGTATTTCTTTACCTAATCCACGTGTCGAACTCCCACATGATAGCCTCACATTTAGCGGGACGGAGGACCGAGCCTCCACTCCTTACGTTGAATGTCCCAGACGGGCTTAACGTTTTACATAAATGTAATAATAACAACATTCTCCAAATTCTCTGTCTAATGTTTACACCCTACAGTGGTCTCAAACATGATATCAGTACTGCTTCCAGCCTCCTCCTTGGTGCAACGTGTACACTCCATGACTCACGACCATGTGAAAGTGTTGGCACCACTGTGCTCTGGTACTTTTCCTCTCTTTCATTCACTGAAAAACTTCTTTGTCTCCACTGATGATTCAGTACAACACCCAGCAGACAGCTGCTGACACGACCCACAGACCCAGCTGCTGACATGCCCACACAGATCAGCTGATGACATGTTGACACAGACCCAGATGCTGACATGTCCACACAGACCCAGCTGCTGACATGCCCACACAGATCAGCTGATGACATGTTGACACAGACCCAGATGCTGACATGTCCACACAGACCCAGCTGCTGACATGTCCATACAGCCCCAGCTGCTGACATGTCCACATATACCCAGCTGCTGACATGTCCACAGCGCCCAGCTGGTGACATGTCCACACAGACCCAGTTGCTGACATGTCCACACAGCCCCAGCTGCTGACATGTCCACACAGACCCAGCTGCTGACATGTTGACACAGACCCAGATGCTGACATGTCCACACAGACCCAGCTGCTGACATGTCCACACAGACCCAGTTGCTGACATGACCACACAACCCCAGCTGCTGACATGTCCACACAGACCCAGCTGCTGACATGTCCACACAGACCCAGCTGCTGACATGACCACACAGACCCAGCTGCTGACATTTCCACACAGCCCCAGCTGCTGACATGTCCACACAGCCCCAGCTGTTGACATGTCCACTCCCAAATGTCTGATAACCTCTTCTTCCATTACTCTCTCCCTCCAATCTGATACACATTTTTTTTTCCTAACCCTGTTGTTATTCTCATCATTTTCTTCTTCTCTCTCTCTTCACTTTTAATATCCTACTTAATTCACCTTCCCAAAAATTAGTAATAATAATTTACTTGGATTATCAAAATTTATTTTAATGGATTTCCTCACGAAAGATTAATTTGTAAATCTTCAATAGGATAAGTGAGAGGTCACATTATTACGGTGAATGGGAGAGTATCGTTCAGTAGGCCGCCCACACCACAGGCCGCCAATACCACTGACCGCCCACACAGGCCGCCCACGCTATACGTAAAGGTGAGACGGAAGGTCGCCTCGCCGCCACTGAAATGCCACAACACGAGTTTACTTATGCCCGTGTCCACGCTCTTTTTGACGCCCGTGTCCACGCCCGTGTCCACGCCCGTGTCCACGCCCGTATCCACGCCCGTGTCCACGCCCGTGTCCACGCCCGTGTCTATGATTATGCCCGTAGGAAACACCTAGTTAGTGTCTAGAATTTATGGTATTCAAGCACAGATATTATTCCTTCCGGTCGAGTTTCTCCAAGAGGAGAGTTGCTCTCGTCTGTGTGAAGACAGCTCACACACTGTACAACAAGCTTACACTGTGAAAGTCTTTCACTCTGTGTGAAGCTTTATCAAAGCATGACGTGATAAAACTCTACGTAGAGCAAAACGTTCCAATAAAAACGCTTTCTGCTGCCTGAACTTTATCTCTGTAGAGCTACATCTGCATTCTACTCTAGTTTATAAAATATGGAAATAAGTAAAATAAAATCTCTTACTGTCCAAGATAGCAAGTTTTGCAGCTGTTGTATTATAATTGTATTTTCATACAAGGCAAAAAAAAAAAGCCATACTTAATGTGTTATTTTTCTACCCAGACGTCAACTCCTCACACAGTAACTGTTAATCGTATAGATTTCAACTTTTCGTAAATAATTTCAGCTGGTTTGTTGCCCGACGTATCAAAGCAAATTTTTTAATGTTTTTTATATTTATGCAGATTCTTGTATCCAGTTTAATATTATTTAAAAATACAAAAAAATAATATTTGTCAGTTTGAGGAAGTGTTAAGAGAATATCTTTTGGAACCCTATGAAAAAATCGTTGACCTGTACATCAACAGTCAATGATACTTTAATTCTTAATATTGACGTAAGTAACCTAAATAAAATGCCCGGAGCAAGTGGCTAGTAACACCTTCTGAAATAAATTACTAAATTTTAAAAGAAAAGCTTTCGTTATATATATATATATATATATATATAATATATATATATATAAATATATATATATATATATATATATTATATATATATATATATAATATATATATATATGTAAATATATATATATATATATATATATATATATAATATATATATATATATATATATATATATATATATATATATTTCTTTTTTTTTCCAACCGTCCCCACCGAGGCAGGGTGACCCAAAAAGAAAGAAAATCCCCTAAAAGAAAATATTTTCATCATCATTCAACACTTTCACCTCACTCACACATAATCACTGTTTTTGCAGAGGTGCTCAGAATACAACAGTTTAGAAGCATATACGTATAAAGATACACAACATATCCCTCCAAACTGCCAATATCCCAAACCCCTCCTTTAAAGTGCAGGCATTGTACTTCCCATTTCCAGGACTCAAGTCCGGCTATATAAAAATAACCGGTTTCCCCGAATCCCTTCACTAAATATTACCCTGCTTACACTCCAACAGATCGTCAGGTCCCAAATACCATTCGTCTCCATTCACTCCTATCAAACACGCTCATGCACGCCTGCTGGAAGTCCAAGCCCCTCGCCCACAAAACCTCCCTTACCCCTTCCTTCCAACCATTTCGAGGATGACCCCTACCCCGCCTTCCTTCTCCTACAGATTTAAATGCTCTCCATGTCATTCTACTTTGATTCTTTCTCTCTAAATGACCAAACCACCTCAACAACCCCCCCTCTTCACCCTCTGACTAATACTTTATTAACTCCACACCTTCTCCTAATTTCCACACTCCGAATTTTCTGCATAATATTTACATCACACATTGCCCTTGACGACATCTCACTGCCTCCAACCGCCTCCTCGCTGCGCATTCACAACCCAAGCTTCACACCCATATAAAGTGTTTGTACTACTATACTTTCATACATTCCCTTCTTGCCTCCATAGATAACGTTTTTGACTCCACATATACCTCAACGCATCACTCACCTTTTTTCCCTCATCAATTCTATGATAACCTCATCTTCAAAAATCCATCCGCCGACACGTCAACTCCCAAGTATCTGAAAACATTCACTTCTTCCATACTCCTCCTCCCAATTTGATATCCAATTTTTCTTTATCTAAATCATTTCATATCCTCATCACCTTACTCTTTCAATGTTCACTTTCAACTTTCTACCTTTACACACACTCCCAAACTCATCCTCTAACCTTTGCAATTTTTCTTTAGAATCTCCCATAAGCACAGTATCATCAGCAAAAAGTAACTGTGTCAATTCCCATTTTGTATTTGATTTACCATAATTTAATCCACCCCTCTCCCCGAACACCCTAGCATTTACTTCTTTTACAACCCCATCTATAAATATATTAAACAACCATGGTGACATTACACATCCCTGTCTAAGACCTACTTTTACCGGGAAGTAGTCCCCCTCTCTTCTACACACCCTAACCTGAGCCTCACTATCCTCATAAAAACTCTTTACAGCATTTAGTAACTTACCACCTATTCCATATACTTGCAACATCTGCCACATTGCTCTCCTATCCACTCTATCATATGCCTTTTCTAAATCCATAAATGCAATAAAAACTACCCGACCTTTATCTAAATACTGTTCACATATATGCTTCAATGTAAACACTTGATCTACACATCCCCTACCCACTCTGAAACCTCCTTGCTCATCCGCAATCCTACATTCTGTCTTACCTCTAATTCTTTCAATAATAACCCTACCGTATACTTTTCCTGGTATACTCAGTAAACTTATTACTCTATAATTTTTACAATCTCTTTTGTCCCCTTTCCCTTTATATAAAGGGACTATACATGCTCTCCGCGAATCCCTAGGTACCTTCCCCTCTTTCATACATTTATTCAACTAAAGTACCAACCACTCCAACACTATATCCCCCCCTGCCATTAACATTTCTGTCATGATCCCATCAGTTCCAGCTGCTTTACCCCTTTCATTCAAAGTAATGCCTCACGTACCCCCACCACACTTCATTTGCTTTTCTTCCTCAAAAGGGGATCCCTCCGGGCCAGGATGAAATTACCGCCTCCCTTTTTCCCCAACATTTAAAAGTTCCTCAAAATTTTTCCGCCATTACCTTTTTACCTTCCCCCCCCCATCACTAACCCCCCTTTCTGTTTTAATGACAATCCTATTTTCCCCCTAGCTTTTTTAAACCCCTTTAATCACCCCAAATTTTTTTTTCTTATTTTCATTAAAATTTCTTGACAGTGCCTCTCCCCCTTTCTCTGCTTCCTTTTGCACTCTCTACCCTCTTTTTCACCTTTTCTTTTACTCCCCATATACTCTGCTCTTTTTTAAACCCTTTGCTTTGAAAAAACTTCAAAGCCTTTTTTTCTCTTTATCCCCCCCCTTTTTACTTACTTTCCCACCAATCACTCCTCTTTCCTCCTGCCCCAACCCTCCTATAACCACAAATTTCCCCCACTTCTAATACTGCTTTTTAAAAAAATCACCCAACCCTTTGAAACCCCCCTTTCCCCCATCCCCATCTTTCCCTAGCCCACCTTTTCCCAATAGTCGCCATATCTCACCCGAATTTCCCTCCTCCTTATTTTAAACACTTTCATTTCCCCCCTATTTTTGTTGCCCCCCCTCTTGTCCCACTACCTCTTATCAACTGTACTACAATAAATAATGATCCGATATACGTTTCCCCCCTTAAACAGGACATCCTGGAGCCTACCCATAACCTTTTTCCCCAAAACAAATCTAAAAAACTACTTTTTAAATTCGTGTAATTTTCCTTTTTTATTTATTTATCCTCTTTTTTTATAAATATGTATTATTTTCCAAATCTCTTTCTACCATACCAATTAAAGGCCCCCATTTTCATTACCCCCGGCACCCCAAAATTTTCCACTTTCTCCCCCACAACATTTTTTTTCCACTTACATTGAAATCCCAACCCAAGTCTCTCACACTTGTTCAAAAAACCCCCCCCACATTCACTCAAATTTTCCCAAAATCTCCTCTTCCCTATTTCCTCTTTCCAGGTGCAATACGCTTTTAATAAACCCCTTTTCACATCCAACCCTTTTTTTTTCTAGAAAATCCTGAATTAATAATTTATGTCCCCTTTTTTCCGCCATATTTATCCTTCAATTTTGCATTACTTTTGCCTAACTCTATTTGAAACCCGAAAGAATTAGAGGAAGACAGAATGTTTGAATGCGATGAGCAAAGGGGGTTTAGAGTGGGTAGGGGATGTGTGGTAAGTGTTTTCATTGAAGCATATGTGAGCAGTATTTAGATAAAGGTAGGGAAGTTTTTATTGCATTTATGGATTTAGAAAAGGCATATGATAGAGTGGATAGGGAAGCAATGTGGCAGATGTTGCAAGTATATGAAATAGGTGGTAAGTTACTAAATGCTGTAAAGAGTTTTTATGAGGATAGTGAGTGCTCAGGTTAGGGTGTGTAGAAGAGAGGGAGACTACTTCCCGGTAAAAGTAGGTCTTTCACAGGGATGCGTAATGTCACCATGGTTGTTTAATATATTTATAGATGGGGTTGTAAGAGAAGCAAATGCTAGGGTGTTCGGGAGAGGGGTGGGATTAAATTATGGGAAATTAAATACAAAATGGGAAGTGACACAGTTACTTTTTGCTGATGATACTGTGCTTATGGGAGATTCTAAAGAAAAATTGCAAAGGTTAGTGGACGAATTTGGGAGTGTGTGTAAAGGTAGAAAGTTGAAAGTGAACATACAAAAGAGTAAGGTGATGAGAATATCAAATGATTTAGATAAAGAAAAATTGGATATCAAACTGGGGAGGAGGAGTATGGAAGAAGTGAATGTTTTCAGATATTTGGGAGTTGATGTGTCAGCGGATGGATTTATGAAAGATGAGGTTAATCATAGAATTGATGAAGGAAAAAAGGTGAATGGGGCATTGAGGTATATGTGGAGGGAAAAAAATGTTATCTGTGGAGGCAAAGAAGGGAATGTATGAAAGTATAGTAGTACCAACACTCTTATATGGGTGTGAAGCTTGGGTTGTGAATGCTGCAGCGAGGAGGCGGTTGAAGGCAGTGGAGATGTCCTATCTAAGGGCAATGTGTGGCGTAAATATTACGAAGAAAATTCGGAGTGTAGAAATTAGGAGAAGGTGTGGAGTTAATAAAAGTATTAGTCAGAGGGCTGAAGAGGGGGGGTTGTTGAGGTGGTTTGGTCATTTAAAGAGAATGGATCAAAGTAGAATGACATGGAGAGCGTATAAATCTGTAGGAGAAGGAACGCGGTGTAGGGGTCGTCCTCGAAAAGGCTGGAGGGAGGGGGCAAAGGAGATGTTGTGGGTGAGGGGCTTGGACTTCCAGCAAGCGTGCGTGAGCGTGTTAGATAGGAGTGAATGGAGACAAATGGTATTTGGGACCTGACGATCTGTTGGAGTGTGAGCAGGGTAATATTTAGTGAAGGGATTCAGGGAAACCGGTTATTTTATTTAACCGGACTTGAGTCCTGGAAATGGGAAGTACAATGCCTGCACTCTAAAGGAGGGGTTTGGGATATTGGCAGTTTGGAGGTATATATTGTGTATTTTTTATACGTATATACTTCTAAACTGTTGTATTCTGGGCACCTCTGCAAAAACAGTGATAATGTGTGAGTGTGGTGAAAGTATTGAATGATGAAAGTATTTTCTTTTTGGGGATTT